CTTGTGGCGTAGGGATAGGACTTTGCATTTAGAAACATTAAATTCAATGTCGTTCTCCTTAGACCATTGATAAGCCGCGTTGAGTGACTCCTGAAGTGTTTGAGAGCCCTTTGGTTCTGTTACCGTGTTCCAGATATTGTCGTCATCTGCAAACAGTATTGTTTTTGGACCTAACACTTTCGGTATTNCCACTCAAATGCGAAATCTCGAACGCCATAATTATAGAGCTTCTGCGGTAAAATTTTGTGATTCACTCGATCAAATGCTTTCGCGAAGTCGAGATAAATGACATCCACCGCATCCCCTTCGTCAACTGTACTGGTCCATTCATCACTAACGAGAAGCAGGTTCGTGGTGCAGGATCGCTTTTGCCTAAACCCGTGTTGAGCTGTCGAGAGAATGCTGTATCTTTCGAGATTTTCCATCAGAGAATCGGCCACAATTGACTCCATGACCTTCGATAACGCCGGAAGCAGGGTCACAGGTCTATAGTTAGCTAGTTAGTTAGATGGGGAAAGCCCTATGCTCACGAGGATCTGCTGTTCAATGATGGAAATCGGTAACTCAAACCCCAGGACTTCATGTGGCGAACGGCATGACGCCCCGCCAGCTTATGTATGGTATTGAACCCGTCGACAGCAAAGCTGCCTACCACCAAAGTTGGGTGGCGGTAGCGTGACTCGAACCTCAAACGATTAGGTTCAAAGCTCGCTGGTGACAGCGAATAAACCACTATATCACCACCTGCTGCATTCCTGAGTCATTCAAACAGTACAAGAGAGCAACCCCATAGCCAAACGGATGGTCACCATTACCTTATGGGTGAAATCTAAGTTAAACATCTATCAGGGACTCCGAAGCTTCAAAACCCCAGGGTTAGTGAAAATGGAATGCTAGTTACTGTAGCTCGATGCATCTTTCTCAATTTCGTTAGTGTTTTATATTAAGTAAACAAAGTTATATTTGGTAACTGAACTCCGTGATATGAAGACATGTCCTTGTTGCTTGAGCGTTTTACAGATACCTTTCGTGCTATTCACATAAATTATACTAGCTTTTTACGTAAGTGGAGGAGAGGTAAAAGATGGCTATCGATTGATGAATTCGAGCGCATGCCCCACGTTCGGGGAAGGGTTGATCGGGACGTGGAAATATACGGTGTTGGAAATTGAAATTAACTGGACTCGTGCATGTTTTTCACGGACCAGAAATGGAAGTCGTAAAGAAAAAGCCGATTGTTGAATTTGTGCTCGGACTGAAAATGCCTCCTCGGGGAGCTGTTAAAGACGTGGGTTAGTACAGATTTCGATAGCCTAAATCTTAAGCTAGTTTTCGAAGTCTATGATCGGTGCAACAACTGAATTGCTGGGTACGTCGACTTTGCCGCAGGTTGCAATGCATCCGAGATATGCAAAACATCTATTTATTCCCACACAAAAGACATTGGTTGAGGATACTAATGTACGGGATCAAAATTTTGGTCCAAAACATAGGTATTTGATAGCAGGGTGGAAAAGTTATCTATTTATAAGTGCGTTTTGTTGAGTAGTTTATCACTGTATGCTGCGTTTTCATTTTTGTGTGAATTTAACTACCGGGTTCTGTCCCGGGACTTGGTTGGATAAACCACATGCGGCTCCAATAGTAATAAGGTTTATTGAACTGTCACGGCGCACTCACTGAGTTCAGGTCAGTTGTTTCCGTCGTCATTTATTCGCCAAACCATAATCTGTCATCTCATTCTCACCGTCCCTCTGTTTCGGACGATCTATTGTATTGTGCCAATTAACTAACAGCCGTGTGCTCTCATCTTCTCCTGTTCTCCATTTGTCCCAAGGTACTGAACGAAATTCAACGGATTGTTTATCGCGCAAAATTTGGCGAAGATCCGCCTCAGCTGGCGACCTAGATTAATCCATCAGGATTATCCGTCTGTTTATCTGTCATTGCTCGCACTGTGCCGCGTATCTCCGCCCTGCTAACACTCGGACTTATGCGCTGCATTCCTTTTCTTCACTAACCTTCCACCACTGTCTGTGTGTGTATTCTGCAAATCGCCTCCCTTTCGTTGCCAAACCGATTTTCGACTTACTTTGAATTTTTCCGCGTGCAGTTTATACACATTTCTAATAAATATCAGGGTGAATTTGCCCGGAGCAAAACAATGCGGAGCTACCTTTTCGTGAACCATTTGACAAGGATGTAAGCATCACGTCATTGAACGATCTGTTTCATTGTGATTGTGGCACACTTTTGGGAGGTGGTACATACATACAATCCTTCCTCATAGCTGTTGGCTCATCCGTTCCATTGATCTGGACGTACTTCCCTCCATGCATGAGTGCCTGAGACCGGAGATCCATTGTAATCTAGGGTCACATATACCAGGTGGTGCGCCGAAGTTGCACAACCAGAGACGCGCCTGTATATGCTCGATTTGTGTGCACACTGATATCGCAAGTGAGGCGATATATCCGCTTGTGAAAATCATCGAGTAATTAGTTTCATCAACTTTTACTTTACTTTTAGCTGGTATACTACGCCATTGATTTTCTCCTGCACGTATGAGAATGAGGCCTATTCGTGATTGTATAGACCACATTTTGAGTCACCATCTCTGCCTGCCTTGATCTGGAAGTGACCTGCGTATCAGTCAACCGCATTCTGCTTTTGGTGTTGTCTTCCTCTGAATGATGATGGCAGAGAGATTTATTTCAACAACAGCAACACGATCCCTTTTGAATAACAGTCATAGCAGAGTTTAATCCCGAGTTCACCAGGCACAACGACGTTCATCAGCGTTTCCTATGTGCACCCTTTTTATTCAACTTTTTGATGAATATGATTGGGGAAACATTCCCGCCCTCGTCAGAGGATGGAGACACTGATTTGCGCCTATATGATAGGCTCCCTGATGTAGAATATAATGTGGATCACATTCTGCTGTTAGATGAAAATCCAAGTAACTGGTATGCTGTTTTTGGATGGTTTTAGTGATAGTGGTAGTGTAGAATGTTCCTCCAGGTCTCTGACCAGGGAAGAAACAGAAAAAGTAGACAAATTTTGCTACTTACGCAGCTACATCTCACCTGGCGGGTACATCATGGATGGAGTTTCGACACGCATACAGAAGGCCAGATTGGCATTCGCCAACTTGAGACATGTCTGGAGCCGTCGTACAATTCAGCTGACTGTGAAGGGTCAATTGTGTGCTGCAGAAGTTCGGCCCGTGGTCCTGCATGGTGCAGAGACCAGGACGTCGCGGGATAAAGGTAGATTATTAGTGTTCGAACACTACTGTCGCCGTCGCACTGCGCGAGTCTGGTAGGGCAACCGGATAAGTAAGGCTAAATTAAGTTGCGCAGAACTTTAGTCGATCGCGGTCACTCGTTGGAGCAAGTATTTGATCTTCATAGATTGAGCATATCATCAAGTCGATTACTACGGTGTGCGCTATTTGCCTCGGCAGACAAGGGGTGTCTAAATGTCAATGGTGGTCAAATCAGTGCTAGCCGGAGGGTGTCAAAACCATGACGGTCATGAGTCGCGTTAGGCTTCCTCTGATGGAAGCAGTGTAACCGCTGGCTAGATGCTCTGAATGATATGGCCGAGTAGTGTAAACAGTTGTGCGAGCGCCTCCCTATCAATTCGATCGAAGCCTCAGTCCACCTGAATTCTCTGTTTTCACATCGACATTGTTTTCCACTTTCTAATCTTCCCTCTGCTTATTCAGCCAAAATAACTACCAAACTCTTCGCACGAAATTACATAGTTGTTGGTTGTATGAAGTGAACTACTGGTGGTTTTGTTATGTCCTACATACTTCATTTGGCTCGTCACATGGATGCAGAAAGTGTACATGCATTGTTTTTGCAAACTGAAAATGTCTCATTTGTTACCAATCAGCGTTTATTCTCCTGTCATCTTAATCTAATTTGAACGTTCAGCAAACTCTCTTCCTCAGGAAACTCAAAAAACTACGATAACTAAGTGAGTTACATAAGTTTATGAAACTTTGCCGGTATATCATGATCTAAACTGACACTCCCACAGGCACGCACATACAGCACAGAGCTGGCCATTATAAATCGGACACTTGCATGCACCCGCACACCCATACCCGAGCTCAGTGTTACTCCTGTCTTCTGGCTGTGTTCATGTCACGTGTGATTGATCACGTGCTGTTGATGTTCATTATTTTTGTTCCCTTGACCGATGCACAAAAGCCCGACCCTGTAAGTGTACAACTTGCTCCACAAAGACACGCTTTTGTGTACTGTAGGGCCGTTTGTTTTGCTAATTGCGTGCGTTTATTGTCATTATTACATTACAGGTATTGAAGCTGTCGTCCTACTGTGTTCTACATTCACAGGTCAGTCACCACGCTAACCATTCGTCCACTCATGTGTGTCTCTACTACCCCTACTTCGGGATAGGTCGGCTTTGTGGAAATCGATTCGTGAAGAATCTTGGCAATGTGATACAAAGTAGTATTCCGCAGTATCGCTCGAGCCTTTTCTTGAATGTTGCATCTGTTGTTCTCACAGTCACGTGCTCCCTGACTGTATAACAACATGGGGAGTGGCAATTGTGTCGTTTGGTGGCATGCCAGGCACACACGTCACGACGCATTCAATGGACACTCGCCGCTTTTGGTTGTACACAGGCCATTTGTTAGGCTAAAAATCTCCCACGACCTCAGACATTTCTATTGATTGTCCGCGATTGCCTATTTGAAAAAGTCACATAAGACACCAATTTGGGCACGAACACTTATCCCAAGGTACCAATAATGACGAGAGTTGACATGGTTGACACAAATGGTCCACAAAGTTCTGTGTGTGTGCATATATCTCAGCCACACTTCTTGTCTTTGGGCTGTTGTATTTAACTTCTCCTCAGGGCGCACTTGCTTTCAACAAACCGACTGTATAGCATTCACATCACTGCTTTCTGTTCTGAACCATATCTCTCAGCGTCTCGAACCAACGATATTCCTTGTCCTTTCGGTTCCAACTTACAAGGTCAGTAATACCAACTGAACTAAAAGTGGGAGCTAACTTCTTCATACCTCTACAGCATTTCATGTTCTGATTGCCGCTTCGCTTCCTCCCGCATTCTCCAACGTGTTACAAGTGGGAAAGAACATCGAGAGATAGACGGTGAGCAGATAACCCAAAACACGATAGAACAGTCAAAGGTGATGTGGATCGATTTCCTCATTTAGAGAGACCTACTATCACCCGATGTTCCCCTCAGACACAAGCAGTGCTTCGAAAGCATCGTTGGGCGAATACAAAATCTCAACTAGCGTCCTCAGCGCAACCGTAAAACAAAATATTACGAACCGTCTTGACTTTTATCTTTCACTTGAATTAAAGTGGCATGTCATGATGGCGCCATAAATGTCGCGGATTGGCAAAAGTCATTCTAGCTTTCGCTATTCATGATATGGTCTCTTCTTCAATATCACGTCCAGCTGCGATAAGGTTCTCGAGGTACTTAAAGCGTTCGACTGTCTCCAACTGATCACGATGAAAGTTGAGTGCATCTGCAGACTCCTACAACTCTGCGGTTACTATCCCACATCACATGGCTATTTGTGCGATTTAGCGCAGCTATGAGGTGTTATAATCGGTCAATGCAATCTTAGTCATCTTTCCTCTAGGCACCTAACAACGTCTACATAAATCAGTGTCTTTAACTTTCATTCTGAGTCAGTCCAACTATTCTCATTTTGCGAATGGTATTTTCTGACCAGCATGCTGTAAGTGATCACAATAATTCCTTGTATTCTTTGACTGCAATTTGTCACACTCAACCGCCCAGCGTGATCTGTAACTTCATTGCCGTACACACACACGCGCGCACATAACCAATCAGATTTATGTTTTTTCCAGATGAATATGTTGGTTTGTCAGAACTGATCGATAATTGTTTGCTCATGGAACAAATACTTGCAATATGCTGTGCCGGGGACTATTTTTTATCACGTGGTCATAAATACATCCTTTCGTCACAGCTTCTTGTTCTTCCACTTGTTGAAGTTTATAGGATTTGTTTTCTAGTTGCATTTTGGCGGTAAACCGCACATTTTTCCTCGTTCACTGAACAGACGCCTCAGTTCGGCGTGTTTCTCTTCTCTTGTTCCATTTTCGTTCACTTATCACCTGAATAATGCATGTTTGCTGAGCGGTATCGAGATACCTGATGCATGCAGGTAAAATTGGTTGGGTCACTGCACAAGGACGTCCACACCTGAAAAATTTTAAATCAACATTATACATATATATATATATATATATATATATATATATATATATAT